CCCCAAAACCCCAAAACCCCAAAACCCCAAAACCCCTCCACTCCAATAACTATTTAAAACATAACTATAACTCAAAAGAAGTATGATTGTTCCCAAGTAAAGCTATTCTAATGACTGCGGAAGAATTGAGTTTTTGGTCAAGAGCACCCCAACGAGTGTTTGGCAGGAAGACTTGTTTGTGTGCAGGAAGTGAGCAGATGTTAGGGTTGAAGAAGAGAAGGTGTTCAGGGTTCCTGAACCTGGAGATATCTTGGAGGTGTTGAATGTTGGTATGAGAGTTCGGGAGGGTGATTTGGGGTTAGATATAAGAGATTTGAAGGTTATTTCAGGGACAGCGGGATGCTTACTGATTGAGAATACTCTTTGTAATATATCTTTTTCGTTTTACTTTCCCTACATTGTGTGTAAATTTTGATATAGCAGAGTATAATCTAATCAAAATTGACAACTTCAGAGAATTGCATAAACTTGATAAATTATGGAGCAAGTTATTGCCTGATCTTAGAGAGTACAAACAGACACATGCTCAACTTAAAAGTAAACTATCGCCTTTAATTCATCCATTCTTTACTCAAAAGTTTAGACTATTTCTTCCACTTACAAATTTGTGATGGATTACTTTGATATTTAGTGGTTTGAGGATGATCTAGCAGCAAGGTCATTTTATGTCTAGTTCCTTCGACATCAAAATATTTTCTTGATGGATTCTGACTGTAACGTTTCCCACTATACATTAAACATTGCATCTTTGGATTCCTTATTTCAAAGAATAAAGAGTTTCTTACTTTAATTTTCCTCAAATAACTCATTTAAAATAGCTTAGGTCTTCTCCACAAACCTATACTTATCCAAATATAGATGATCTGGGCTCAGCAAAGGCCACGAATGGTTGGGACAGACTCCCTTACCTTTTGATTGAAGCCAGGACTCTTCTTGGCACCCTGTTGAAGTCTCTCCTTTGGAAAGAATATTGCAAAGAAGAAAGCATCAGACAGTTCAGAGATAGCCAATACGGCGCTACAAGAATGTACAGTGCTTCCAAGAAGTGGATCAACGGACAAATAATGAAGTTGAAAGATCACCTGACTGTTACCAGATATGGGGAACTTAAAGAAGAATATAAGCAATTAAAGCAAGAGTACAAACAAAAGAGTGAACTGTGAAATGAAAAGCAGAAAAAGATTGATCAAAAGCTTAGAAAGATTCAGTCCCAAGAGTTTGAAATTCTGGAGTTAAAATATAAGATACAAGAAAGTAAAGAATTATTAAAAAGTTGAAAAAATTATGAGAGAGCATAATATTATTATTTTATCTGACAAAATGCTTCATCATATTTAATATCAAAAACCATGTCTAACTTTTTGAAACTGATCAAAAATCTTCTTCAATTTTCTGAGTCTAAGGTCTTTGAGCAAATATTATACAATAACTAAATAGATTATCAACATAAAAATTATATAAGCTAGAGCCCTAATTTATGAGTTTAAAAACATAGACCGCTCCATTCAAAATCGAGGGAGCCCAGTCAAAAGCCTGAATACTGCGAGTAGAGCAGCAGATGAGTTGGACAAAGATCATATCTAAAATATAAAGCAAGTATACTACAGGTTCCTGTGTAAAGATATTGAAGGAGCAAGCTAAGAAACTCGCGGTGAGCTCAACCGAACTAGAAAAGGACACTAAAGAGCTGGCAGGTTTGTATTAGATTAATCATAGAACAACCAAATCCAGAACTAAACCCTAACGACATTACTACAATCTTCACCCAAACATACCATAAAATACAACAAATATCTAACCTAAAACTAAACTTCACCCACCAAAAAGACATCAAATCCCTCCAAAACCTCACTCCCTACCCTCTCCCTCCTCTCCAATCCCTCACTCTCTGAAACCTCCACCTCTCACCCCCTGACCTCCTCTCCCAATTCCTCTCCACCTCCCTCACCCCTCACTCTCCCTCCATCGATCACTTCAAGGTCTTCTCTAACTCATTCCCTCCCACAGGCCTAAACCCCCACATAAAGTCCCTTACTAAGATCCTTCCTTTAGTCACACAGGGATTCTGTATCTACAAGTGCTACCTGAGTAAGGCTCGGTTTGAGAGTCTTTTCGCAGCAGCGAAGAATGTGAAGAAAGTGGAGTTTTGGCACTGTATAATAGAGACTGATAGTGCATGAGATTTTGGAGAGGAGATGGAAGAAGTGAGGGTTGGGGAGATTGGTTTTGATGGTATTGAGAACTGGAGCGATTGGATTTTTGGTGAGATCAGGTTCACAAATATTCTCAAGGGACTGTCAAAAGTTAAGAGTGTAAAAAATCGTGAGATAATAATCCGTCTGATTGGTAGTGGTGTTGAGCAAGACACTTTTCAAGAAATCTTGGAAGAATACGAGTTAGAGAAGATGAGAGTGAAAGTAGATTATTATTAACTTAATATTGAATTTTTATAGCTTCAATTTATATTTAGTTCTCAGGGGTTTTGGGGTTTTGGGGTTTTGGGGTTTTGGGG